CGCTTGCCCGGCAGCGCTGACTCCCGCTCACTCGCTCGTTCGCCCGGCAGCGCTGACTCCCACGGCCCTGCTCACTTGCTTGCCCAGCACCACCAACTCCCATGGCCCCTCTCGCTTGCCTGGCGGCGCTGACTCCCGCGTGCCTGCTCACTCATTTGGCAGCACCCATTCCCATGTCCTTGCTTGCTCGCCCAGCGGTACCGACTCCCACCTCCCCGCACGCTCACCCAGCAGGTCTGCTGCACCCTGCCATAGCTTGGACTCTGCTTTTCCCTCTAAGTCACCTTCTCCCAGAGCCCTCCTGGGAGAACCCTTGTGGGTCCCAATGTTCTCTACTGCCCCTGACGTAACCAGGCCTCCATATTTCCTGTGCTCTGGGACGGGAGCGCCTCCTGCTGGGGACATCCAGTCCTAGCGAGCAGCGTAGCGCGCCTGATAAGGCACTGCTACTAGACCGGGTTTGCTACTTGGCTCCTGTGGGTTCTACCCCCTCACAGCTGAGCTCAAACGACACCAGAGTTACGTGGGCATTTGGGCACCGTCACGCACTTGCTGCTCAGTTTGCTGCACGCGTGCGCTCACACACACACACACACACACAGATCTCAGCCACAATTGCGGAGCCGCTGTAGAGAACTCCTGGCGGTGCTGAGCACCGGCTGTTCGCTGGAGGCCGGGCTACAGCTCACCTGGATCCAGGGAGTAGCATTTGTCCTGCCCCTTGCAGACCTTGGCTACGCTGTACGTGGTCTCCATGTCCGAGAGGAGGTTGTTGTACTGGGAAAGAAATCGTATCCACTTAGGTGCCTGCTCGCTGCTCTGCGCCCGGAGACAGGACAACACCACCGCCTGTCCCCATCCCCCTTTGCCGCCCTTCCACCCAGATCTCCAAGCGCTCTACAGACATGAGTGAATTCACAGTTCCCGGGGAGGTGGTGGGGGGAGGCACAGAGAGAGGAGACTGGCCCACGCTCTATCCACGAGCCAGTGGCAGCCCCAGGGCCCTGAATCCCAAGCCCACAGGATGCAAATCCCTCTCCAGGGAGTTCCGTCTCTCCTGTAAGGGAGGCTGGAGCCTGGCGATTCGGAGTCCCAGCCCATCCTCCTCCCCGGCCCGCGCACACAAACACCCTCCATCTCTTCCAGCCCGAGGGAGACCATGGGAAACCAAGGGGTTTAATCGTGGCACGCCCAGCACAGCTACGAACGGAGCCATTGAAAAATGAGCCATAGGTCAGGAGCCTCATGCCCCCATTCACTGTATAGGCTGAGCTCCCATGTCAGACCATCTCCCATGATGCACCAGGGCTTCCTTCCCCTTTTTGCCAAGGGAGGTATTGCATCATGGGAAATTGAGTCCAACTGGGGAACCCGAGCATGGAGGCGTGAGGCAACAGAACTACAATTCCCACAAGGCACCACAGCAGCAGGTCTAAATTGAACAGTACTGATTCCATCCAACAGAGGGCAGTGGTGTGCAGGCAACACCTCCCTCCCCCTTGGTCTGCCCCAATAGCACAGACCACAAAAGATCCCTGTTAAAAACGGGCCAGTCACACTGGGAGTCGGGAGGAGCATTTCGATTGGGAGGAACTTCGTAAACTCTCTTTATTGTCACTAGGAATAATCCATGTTCTAATGGGGACGTTTGCCGCCTGCCCAAAGCCACTGGGAACCCACCATCCCATCCCTCCTGTGAAGTTGCATAGAAGATTGCAGGGCCCAGCATGCAATGCTCCAGCTGCATTTGAAGATCCATGCCACGCTGCACGCTGGGTCACGTGGCCTTTGGTTGGTGAACCCCGTGGGCCAGGGATGGTGCCTTCCTGCGTGGTTAGCACCCAGCGTGTGGTCTCAGACACAGGAGGACCAGGGCCTTCTCGGTGGTATCACAGAACTCTTTGCCCGCCCACATCTCACCTCCTTCAGCTCCTCCTCCGGCAGGGCGGCTCTCTCAATGTCGCTCAGTTTCTTCAGGATGCGCTTGACGCTCTGGTCCTGGAAGTCAGAGTAGTCGAACTGCCGGGCCTGCACGCCATGCTTCAGGGTGTGGGCCGACATCTCCAGGTTCTTCTCCAGCTGCAGGACCATGGGAGGACAGGGAAGGAATCACCTGGTTGAGGTCCCCCGTCAGGGGCAGATGACTGTTTTGCGAGGCTCAGGGCAGCATAATTTTGCGGGGCCCCCCTTTGCCACGGCGCATGCGCAGGGCCCAGGGCGGCCACCCCGCTCGCCCTGCCCTGTATCCACCCCTGTCCCCAGTGTTCCCTCTCACATTTTCTATCTTTGAGCGGGCTGAATTTTTATATGCACCACCAATATTGAAGTAGTGTGTGGATGTACACCACCAATCACACACACACACACGCGCACACACACACGCGCACACACACACGCGCACACACTCTGCCTCTGTCGCTCTCATCTTAAGCCATTAACATCTATATGCAAACTGTTTGAAATGTAATCACGCAAATGTCCTCCCAGCGTATGCGCGCACGCACACACACACACAGGCTTTCCCGTCCTCCCTCCAAGCCAGCCTAACAGAGAGGATTGCAGAGAGTCAGACATCCCAAACAACCTGCCCTGACTCCACTCCACTTCACAGATGCCAGCTCTCAATCACTCCCTCTTCCCCCCACCTACCGCATGCAGTCAGCCCCTTTGCCTGCCCTTTCCCAGCCCAGGAGGATTGAAGAGACGGCTGGGTTTCTGCCTCTGCCCTACCCCCCTCTCTCTCCTCCAGCAGATGGGACTTTCCCCCAAGCCAATTAATTACATTCAGCCGTGCAGCTTAGGGGGAACTTTGATGATCACCCTCTGGGCACATGTGATGGGCAGCCAGGGCGTGCGCTCACTGCAGGCTGCCCACAGACCTAGCTCGAGGTCTAAAGTACCAATCTAACAGTTCATTTAGGGATACCAGGAGAAAAGCACCTCCCAGCGTACGAATGCTACCCTCTGGCTACCAGATGTGTCCCCCCCGGCAGCCACCCTGGTTTTCTGCACTCCCCTGCAATGGACTTTGGGTACAGCCTGCTTGGCTTTGCTGTCAGCATCACTGGCTGGGGGTCTCATACCATGATCTGCTTGTTGTGGTCGGTGATGTTGGTGTTGTACACCCAGGACGCCTCAGTGTAGGCATTCCACACCGCTTCAGCTGTGCTGTTGTACTCTGCCAAGAAGTCTCTGGCTTGTGCTTCATCGGCTATTTTATCTAGAAAGGCAGAAAGCCCAATGGGTAAAGCAGTCACATGAGTCCTTCCCCTGGTGCAAGCAGAACCTCCTCGGAAAATCCATGACTGAGCCTTTGCCGGCACCACAGTCTCTCCAGGACCCTGAGCTGGCTCCCCTTCCAGCCCTGGTGCCCCCTGAGAAAGATGTGACAGGAGAAGCCAACAGGTAAGTGGCCGGTGAAACATCGACCGTTCTTCATCGGGGCTGGAGGAGGAGTACCGGTAACCGGGAGGAGCCTGGCATTCTAGACTCAACCAGCCAGCCAATCAGCAGGCAGCACAGAAAACCTCAGGGATTGTCTGTTCCCGAGGGAGCACAGGAATTCTTATGCCGGAAGAGACCATTGGTCAATCCAGGTGTGGCTCAGCTGTGTGGCCATCGAAGGCGCGGTGCCCCGAGACGCACAAGCATGTGCTGCTATCCGGAGCCCCGCCGGGGCATCTGGGGGAAGGCGCGGTACCCCGAGACGCACGAGCGTGTGCTGCTATCCGGAGCCCCGCCGGGGCATGGTGCCGTGCTGTCTGGGACAAACCCACTGCACTGCCCTCTGGCAGAGACTTCGCCCCTCGCCCATGTGCGTTCTGAGGAACCATGCCACGTGGCATCCGCCGGGGGACACCTCCCCCGCCTCCCCGAGACCCAGCGCTGAAGCGTTACCGATGCCGTCGGGGTAGCCCTCGGGGACAGGCGGGCGCCACTCGAAGTCCGGCCAGCCCAGAGTCTCATTGGTTTTGCGGTTCTCACTCTGAAGCCATTCGGTCACGGGGCTGAAGTACTCCAGGAGGGCCCCAGCGTCCATCTTCTCCGTGCCAGTCAAATTGAAGAGGATTTCTTGCCATGGCTTGGAAGAGCCGGCTTGCAGCACCTCCCTGCAGAGACCCGGGAAAGCAAATGCCAGCAAGAGGCAATCAGGTGGACGGCCCCGAGCACAACGTGTGGAGTTCTGCGCATCAAGACACGGCGTGACGCCGGCAGAGCGGGTGCCAGCGCCATTGAACACACACACACACACACACAGCTAGAATCCGCCTGGCACACCTGTGTGTTAGTACTAACGTCGATATGAGCATTAGAATAAAAATGTCTCGACTGTATTGAATGCTCGTGTGTTGCGGCGTGCACTAACGTCTCTGACGCTGTCGGTACCCAGAGTGTCATATCTGAGCAGTTATATTATGAGCCTCTGTGACAGTGGAACTCAGACGGAGAGAGACATTCATTACAAGTGCTGTATGCCCACCCCAGTCGGAAAAGTCCGTCATCGCCAGATTCTTTTGTCCTCTTTAACGTCCCACAATGCTTTGCTGTTCTGCCATTATAGGATGGAAGAGACCTCAGGAGTCGCCGAATCCAGCCCCCTGCCCAAAGCAGGACCGAACTCAACTCAATCATCCCAGCCAGGGCTTGGTCAAGCTGGGACCTAAACTTCTAGGGATGGAGACTCCACCCCCTCCCTAGGGAACCCATCCCAGGGCTTCACCACCCTCCTAGGGAAATAGTTTTTCCTAATATCCAACCTAGACCTTCCCCACTGCAACATGAGCCCATTGCTCCTTGTTCTGCCACCTGCCACCACTGAGAACAGCCTCTCTCCAGCCTCTTTGGAAACCCCCTTCAGGAAGTTGCAGGCTGCTCTCAAATCCCCCCTTGAGCTTCACTTCTGCAGACTGAACAAGCCCAAATCCCTCAGCTTCTCCTAGTAGCTCATGTGCTCCACCTCCCGAATCATGTGTGAGACTGAGCTCCCCGGCCCTCCAGCCACACCGAGCCGCCTCATGAACCCACGCACTGGTCCCAAAGAGCAGCCACGCTGGCTCAGACCCGTGGTTCCTGTGGCCCAGGGCCCTGCCTTTGGACGCACGGGCGGCCACTTATCTTGGCCCGTGGTGCCCAGCACGAGGCATATTCCTGGCCCGGGGCTGAGCTCTGCAACCTGCCACCTCCATGTGTGTCCCCCTGTTCCTGCCTGCTGCCCCATGCACTCTCCCCCCAGGTGTCCATCAGCCCCTCCTGCTGCCCCCGGGCAATTTAATACTCCCTGGGGGCCCTGGTGGCAGCAGCAGCAGTGCAGCGGAGCTAGAGTGTCTTCCCGCCGCTCGCTCCCAGCCGGTCGTACATCCCTGTGGGCCAGGCAGGGGGCTCGTCTGCCAGCAACATGGAGACACCCCCGGGCTGCAGGGACGTGCGCGCTGGCAGGCAAGAGGAGCGAGGGGTGGGAAGCCCCACGGAGCTCCCGGTGGTGTTTGAAATCGCCCGGGAGCTGGCAGGCAGGGACCGGGAATGTATGTGGGGCTGGCAGGCAGCAGCGTGCGGAGACCCCCTGGGAAGTGAGGCTCCCCCCCGCCTCGCCTCCTGCCTCCCACTCCTTTGAAAGCCTGCACCTCCCTTCTGGCCCCCCATCCTGTCCCACTCCAGCCCCCAAACTTCCTCTTAGAGCCCGGCACTCGCACCCCCTCCTGCATCTCTGCTCCGGTAAGAGCCTGCACCCACACTCCACCGCAGAGTCTGCCCCCCTCATTCCTCCTGCCCCCAAGGCCCCAATTCCCTCCAAGAGCCTGCACCCACCCTTGCTGCACCCCAATACCCCAGGTTCCTCCCAGAGCCTGCACCCCTCCCCGATCGAAACACCCTCCCAGATTCTTAGGCAGGTGGCCTCCTGCATCTCTGCTCCGGTAAGAGCCTGCACCCACACTCCACCGCAGAGTCTGCCCCCCTCATTCCTCCTGCCCCCAAGGCCCCAATTCCCTCCAAGAGCCTGCACCCACCCTTGCTGCACCCCAATACCCCAGGTTCCTCCCAGAGCCTGCACCCCTCCCCGATCGAAACACCCTCCCAGATTCTTAGGCAGGTGGGGGAGGGGATTTGAGCGGGGGAGGGGTGCGGGCTCTGGACATTCTGGGCACCACCAACATGTCTGCAAACCAGTTGCTTCAGAGGGAACAAGTGAGAGAGGCCGGGGGGGCATGAAGAACATCCCCCTCCCCCGGCCCTCCCGGTGCCCTGGTGGCCTCTCCCAAGCCCCCTGCTCGGGCCGGGCCCCTCCCCCTGCCTTCCGCGGCCCTCACCTGAGTTTGGCTCCGGCTTCTTTGGACATGTAGATGTCGCAGGTGTGCAGGGGGCCGGTGTGGTTGGCGGCTTCGCACAGGGCCTTGTGGAACTGGAACTGCAGGATAAAGCTCACAAAGTACCTGGGAAGAAAGCAAAGGCCACAGCCGCAGGCTCAGGGCTGGGTGATGGGAGCAAGGAGACAGCCGCCGATCTCCCCTGTGGGGAGGTGCCCCCCGACCTTTTGTCCCCCCCGTCTCTTTGCCCCTCCCCCCGCTGTATACGTTCGGCGTATCCCTGGATGTGTTCTCGGGCCCGGCCATAATGTGCCCAGAGTCGGAGCTGGGTTTCTGTGCTGACAGAGGGGAAGGGAGGAGGGGAGCAGACGGAAGCACCGGCTGCATTTCACCTGCTCTCCCTGCACGTCTGTCTGGGGTCCT